ATTTAGGAGGTATTTCTTTCATTTTGTTTATTTTCCAGCAGAGATTTGTGTGTGTTTGGTTTTTGTTTGAAACGAGAATAAGGGTTATAAGCTTCCTAAGTTTGTTTGAGTTATCGGAGTCAAAGGTCGAAGTGTCGGGTTTCTTTCGGGAAGCTTGAACGATAATATTAAAGGTTATTTTTCATTAAAGGTTACCTTTGAGAAGATGAGCTCCTGTCGTCGAGGAATGTCGTGTTGGAGGCACTTTCAACCGTGCATGTGAGGATGAGTTTAGGGTCATTTAGATCCTTATTTTTCTTAGGAGCAAGATGGGGGTTGTTTGGTTCATATTTCTTCAATTTAGTAGGGTTGTATTGTGGTCTAGGTTGGTTTAGGTCTTGGTTCTACTATAGAGTGGGATTTTTGTGGCCATCGAGGGTGGAACCACTGTTCATGAGGTTGAAAGAGGATAAGAGAGATAAGTTTAAGAGAGAGTGGAGTGAGAACAAATAAAAGGTTTTAGGTTCGGTTTCTTAGCTTCTAGTCGAAGACGTATGAGGGAGGAGAAGCGTCGGTGAATGGCGATTGAGTGGTGGATGAGCTTCATCTTTGGTGTCAACGACGTGCATATAAGAGAATAGAGGAAGACTTGAGAGAAGAAGAGATGCGGCTGAAAGTTTAGGTTGAAATTAGATTAGGGTTATTTTCAAATAGGGTTTTATATTAACTTATTAGGGTTAATTCTTTTAAGGTCTCTGTAAGTTTACCGTATATTTATATTTTAGCCACTAATTTTATAATTTTGTGCTTTTCAGTTTTTTTGTCATAATTGTGTAAATGTCTCTTTTTGTTGTTTGTTCTTAGAACATTGGGTAATATTAGGTTTTAGTCCCTCATATTTAGGCATGTTTTCACAATATGGTCCCTGTCATATTTCTAATTTAATGTCTGATTTTTTATTTATGCTAATTTGGTCACCATGCTTAATTGTTTCATTATATTAAAATTAGATCCTTGAATTATGTTGTTAGTTTGAAATTAGTTCATGTTATGAGCTTGTGTGGCCATTTAAATTTGGTCTTTGAATTTTGTTGTTGACTTTAATTTAGTCCTTAGATTAATTATGTTATTGATTAACTTTTTTTTGCTAATTACTTTGTTAAAATTCTATTATTGTTCATCAATTTTAATTAAATTCATTTTTTTTATTTTTAGCATATTTAGATCAGTTTACCTTGTAGATTTAGTCCTCACATTTATATTTATTTTAATTTGGTCCATGGCTAGATAGTTGTCTTCTTTAATTAGTTATATTTATTTGTTTCGCATGATGAGATGTTCACATATGTAAGAGTATGCAAATAATTCATTAGTAAATTGCATAGCATCATTTTCGTATGAGATGTATGTTATCCTCATGTGCATAACTTGACATCATTACATAATTAAATTAAGGGTAATACCCTTTTAATTTAAAATTGTTTTAAGTGGATTGTCTTAACTTATTAGAGATCCGCTTTTGATGATTTTAAATTAAAAGCGTATCTCATCAGTGTCACCTAAAAAATGGTTTATCGCTTAAAATTTGGGAATGAAAGAAAAAGAAATGTTCGATTATTTAAATTTTTTGAGAAAAGATTGTTAGAACTTAGCTAAGACCAGGTCTCAGTATTTTTAAATAATCAAATATTCTTTATCTTTATAAAAATGCTTGGTAATTTTAAATTAATCTATTTTGGTGTATTTGAATATTATAATGAAATTATAATATTTCTTTATTTCGATTGAAGTAAAAATTAATTACCTCAAGTTATGAGGGATTTATTTCTTCACGATGGGAAATAATTTAATATTATTATATTTCATTGTAAATTCATATTTTGTTGTTAGAATGGATCAAAAGTCAAATTAAAGTCGAATTTGTAAATTTCATTGCAAAGACAGTAATTAATCGACTAGGTATCGATTTAGGGCGCTGTGGGGGTGCTAATCTTTCCCCGTGCGTAATCGACTCCCGAACTCATTTTCTGGTAATACAGACCTCAATTTGTTGTTTTAATTAAAACTATTTTTTATTTAAAATGACAAAACATTTTTGGGTACCCAATCACACCCTAATCAAATATTGGTGGCGACTCATCGAGCCGTATTTTTCTATCGTAAAGGAAATTCCAAAATTTTTGAAAAGAGTGGTTTTTAAATCACATTCATTTTAAATTAAAATTTAATCATAAAGGGATAATTAAAAATTGTGTGGTTTTTAAAATCTCAATTTTAAGAAAAATCGTTTCGACAGCTGGATTTCATTTTAATAGACGAACTTAAAAAATTTTAGGAGGCAAAAACATATTTTTAATAAAAAAATATCTAAAATATATAGAAATTTAAAATTTTCAAAAGAATGAGCGCTTAGATGCATCCTGATTTTGACAATAGAAATGAATCAGTGTCCACCTAGCCCTATGATTTTTGAACACACAATTACACCGCATAATCATCCATTGGAGATGATAACACATAAAACCAAATAGAAGTAATTGTAACTATAATGACTCGAATTTCTAAGTTAATCTATGAGGATTGATCCAATATAGTTAAGGATCAAATCGAGAGCATGGTTGAATTCATTAGGCAAAAGACGATACTAATCGGGAGATAATTGAATCTAATTAGCATTTAAATAGAGATTTTTGAATTTAGATTAAATTAGGAATGACCAAAAGTATAAGTACACCATTGATTAAAAAACTGAAATCTGAATAGAACTATACCATTGGTGAAGAATAAGACTAAAATACACAAATTGTTACTAAACTATGCTAAAATGATTCTTTTAGCATTTGAAATTTTAGAAATTATAAATTAATTAAGTTTATCAAACTATTACGAAATGGTCACTGCATATTATAGAATTAGTGATAAATTTCAGAAAATTATAGGACCATTTTGTAATAGTTTGATAATAATTTTAACTTTCAAATTCAAGCGCCAAAAAGATCATCTCAACGTAATTTAGTAACTATTTGTAAATTTTACCCCAAAAATAATTAACTCACTAATAGTTAATGAACAATAAATTTCCAAGTTTCATTATCTTGTAACTTCCAAAAAAATTAATTATGATTTATTTATTCAAAATTAAACTTGATAAAATTAGAGTAAAGTAATATGAAGTTATTAATAATCATTAATTTGATAAAATTTAATTTGATGTTTTGTGTGAAGTGGCTTGATTGTTTTTTCAATTTTGCTTTCGATTGCAGTGTGTAAAGAACAAACCGTAATTATATTCGTTGTTTCACATCAAAGTGTAATCCTTTTCCTCCATCTAAGTTTAGGGAGGTTTTTTAACGAGGCATTTGATGTTTCGTGCTTTGTACCCCTGATTTTAATCTAATGTACATCCCTTTATAAATAAAATAAAATAAAATAAATTACCTACATTTACCTAAAAGTGAATTAATTTACTAATTGCTAAAGAACAATGAATTTCCGAGTTGTATTATCTTGTAACTTTAAGAAAGTAATTATTAATTATATATTTGATAAAAATAGAGAAAATAACCTGAAGTTATTAATAAATGATCTACATTTAACATTCTAAACCAAAACAAAAGAATATTTCTCTCATTAAAATTGTCACGAAACCCAAATGGAAAAGAAAATCTCTTTTCATTATCGTACCTTCAATGTTTAAGATAATTTGTTTAATTATAATTTTAATCCTTCAATTTTATAATAACAAAAAAAAATATTGAAAAGATATTGTACTTTCATTGTTTAAAAATGGGCAAATTATTAAAAAGATTATCAGTGAATAACAAAAATATATTATCACGAATCACGATCCTAAAATTCGTTCCAAAAAAAAAAATTCCTAATTGTGAAACTAACTAATTGTGATTACGTACCCGTTCCGCGAATCGCGAATTATGTAAACACTTAATACAATAGTTCCTCGGAGATGATCAAAGGAAGTTCATAAGTAATCATGGTGCTAAATCATCTAATGTTGCTATCTGAATTGAGACAGAAGAATATTCTTGGTAAACAGGTAACCAAAACATCAACAAGCCAACCATCAAAATGAATGACAAGTTGAAAATAATGAAAGGTTACCATATAGTCGTTTGTAAATCAAGCCTACTCTGCAGTATACTTGAGATCCCAAGGATTTCTGGTACAGCCTCTAAGGTTTATGTTCCTCAGAGATCTTGGATTCAAACAGGCAGTATCTGAGATAATATATTATTTGGGAAGGGCATGGACAAAGCTTTCTAAGAAAATGTTCTTGAAGCATGTTCCTGGAACAAGATTTTTAGATGTGGCATAATAGAGATACGACTTACGAGTGTTGTGGGGGGAAAGAGGGATGAACTTGAGTGGAGGCCAAAAGCAGAGGATTCAGTTAACAAGGACCGTTTACAGTGATTTTGAAATCTAATCCTGGATGACACCTTCAGTGCTGTTGATGCTCATGGAGGAACACATTCGTTCAAGGTTTTAAAAAAACCATCCCAAACCTCTTTTCAAGTGCTATTTGTTATTCTAGTAGCATTCTTCTGTGTTTATTTCTAAGATGAAGTAGCTCCATGTATGATAATTCTTTGCAGAAATGTCTCAAAGGATTATTGTCTAAGAAGAGTACTGTCATGTACGCTACACACCAATTGGAATTTTTAAATGCAGTAGACATTGTTCTGATAAAATCCAGTGATTGGTACCAATAAACTACTAAGTACTTACTTTCAAGTCTCTCACTCAAGTTGATTTGTTCCCAAGTTTATTCAGTTCAAAATCTATAATGTTGAGTTGGTAACTGAACTCAAAAACCATCCGGTGAAATACCAGTTTACACTTCCTGTGGTACTTTCATTGGAGAAAAGAAAGTTGGAGTTGTTGAAGATGATATATATATCCACTTCACATAATTTTGCGGTGTCTGAAGATGGAGAGAACTGGAGTTTTGAACAATGTGATTCAAGAGACAAGCTGTACGATTCATGAACCATAAACGCCGAAGTAAACGAGTGCTTTGATAATAGTAGTAATAACAGTTTGTACGATTGATGAACAATAAAGTTGAATACATGAAATAAAGGTTCATTTGATATCCTTGAAACAGCGTTGGAACCACAATTTATGCATGCTCTCCGAAGGGTGGAAAGGGTCGAAGTAGGCATGAGTTGTTCTGTCAGCGCAAGGGGCTCTACCTGGAGCACATTCCCGTGTTTGATTCCCCGCTACGTCAATGCAGCAGGAATCAACAACATTTCTAAACCCTGCAATAGTCAACATAGATATAACAATATCAGTTCAAAACGCAACAAAAAATGAACACTTTGCTGCAAACCAAAACGTGCACGTAACACTACATGCATGCTTATATAATAATGAAATTATCTTCTAACATTTCTCACCATATGTTTCAGGCAAAGCGTGGACATCTTCAAACAGTTTGTACAGGTCGCACAATATAAATGTTGTTCCCTTCAGAGACTTCTCTAATACCGTCAAAATGTCGGAAAGAAGGTCATTGAAGAGAACTGCTCTTCGATTCTTATCTTCCAAACAGGAAGTACTGTGTGGTTTGCTGTGAAGATAGACAGGGTGACAGCCAAACGGGGAAACATTGTTCACAACAAATTTCCTCGCTCCCAATCCATATATTTTCTGCATCGTAATTAAAACACTGTAAAATTGAATATCCAATTCTGAAAACTATGTCAAGAAAATTTTAAAAGAGTGTTTTACCTCTAATTTCTTCTTGAACTCTTTTGATAAGTAGCGAATATATTTTTCTACGTTAGGGAACCTGTTTTCTTCATCAAGCTCCCAATAAACGCTTAAGTCATTGGTACCAGTGTGAAAAAAGAACAAGGAATTAGACAAATGGAGAGCAAAACTTTCACTTGTCTCAAATTGACCCTTCAAGCTTTTAGTTGTCTGCTCGAACAACTTTATTTGTTCCTTCAAGCTCAAGACCTTTACCTGAGGTGTATTCAAGAAAACAACAAAAGAAATCAATTGAAGTTTTATCCATGGTAAAGTAAATCAATGGAGCAAAGCTCAACACCAGACTAATTAAATCAAATTACTTACGAATATTTGAGCTGTATGAGGAGGCATACGCCGTATTCCACTCGAACTAGAACCATAGTTGATTCCAGTCAGTGTGCTCTTGAGTTGGTCTTTAGACAAACTCTTCACAGGCGGAGGAAACGGCAAGCCAGCAGATTCAGCTGCGTACCCAAAAAACATGAGTAAACAATATTAGATAAATAAACAAAACACAAACTTTGTGACTAGTTAAACTAACTTCAAGAAACAGGTCGGCAAGGAAATTATGGCAGCAAGCTTAAGAAATGATAATGAGCAGTAATTTTGATCCTTACCGATGAAATCAACAACGGTTCTGCCGTTCGTTGTCCGGCCAGTTGGTCGACCTCCTTGGAAATCAATCCCGTACGGCAGGTAGTTGAATGTGGCTGTTGCACCATCAATAAATTTGTTGTTTCCAGAATCTATATAAGAGTCACCAAAAGCATATATTGCTGGAATTTTGGATACGGAATTGTTTAAAGCAAAAATGCAAGAAGGCTGCGAACAACTGTAAACTGAACTCAAGAATAAAAAGAAAAAACTGAGAACATCAACACAAATGAAAGCCATTGCTAAGTGAAAAGAAAGCAAAGATTGATGGATTGATGTGTTGAACTGAAGAACGAAAGTGACATTATATAGGCGTTGGGGGTTAGTTAAGAACCCTTCACATGTATCTTTAATAAATTGAGATGAGTTAATTATTTAATAAACATTTTAATGTTTATATATTATTGAATTGGTAAAGTGAAAAAAATAGCAAAGAGACTTTTAGCTTTTTTAAAAAATAAATTTATAATATATAAAAATAATATACAAAAATATTGAATTTATTTTGAGGGGAACAACTTTATTTAATTTAACATGTCAATCAATATACATCTATAAAATTACGTTTGATGGGCTAAATAATCCTGTTGAGAAATTACGAAAATAAGGATCATGGAAATTTAGGTAAGAAAATAAGATGAATGCTACAGTAGATATGAAGTTGTCGGCAATTGTTGACGATTTCGCTCTATTTTTTTCCAATTTAAGACTAAAATGTAAGAAAATAGAAGTACAAGGACTAAAATTGGAATTTTTAAAAATTATCTCTTCAACTGAAATGGTGAGTTTAAGGAAATTAATAATATTGTTATGTAGACTATAATTATATTGCAAAACTTTGGAAGATCATTAAAATTATAATTATAGGGGCTTTAAATATTAAAAAAAGTTTAAAATAAAATTGTGTTTAGCTTAGTATACAATATAATATTTATTCATTTTTAAATTGCCAATGATATTGTAGGAGTTAGTGGTAGATGTTGGGCGAGTTTGATTAAATTACAGGAACCAAAATAAAAAAAATTAGATTTTACAATTAAAGTATACATATCAATTTTTTATATATAATGATATACTTTAATACATAAGAAATTAAAGTATGCATATTAAAAAAGAATAAAATCAAATTTAAAATTATCGACAAAAAACTAAGAAAATTAAAATTTATAGTCAAAATAATATTTTTATGTTGAAAATGATAACAAGATGACTTGAGCTCTTTACGACGCATTGATCTTTTAAAAGTTACAAAAATTCAAAAATCATTTTAATTAAACAAAAAATTATGGCCTTTCAGATTTTTATAGTATAATTATATTTAAAACAGCACAATAAATGCAATCTTTGTCTTAATATCTAAAAAGATTATTTTAGCCATTATACTTTTAATTTCTTTTAGTCTGATCCTAAAAGTACCGAAAGAGAGAGAAATCATTGGAGTAAAACCGTCAAAAACTTTAAGAGACTTGGAACCGGATTAGTAAGGTGTTCGACATGGATCAGTTTGGATTAGTCAAGGTAAAACTTTGAAACTGGAAGGGCAACAAACAAATCGATTTCAGTTACTGACAGTTTTATTGTTCATTATAATTTTCACCCATTTTTTCTAAATAGATCCCAATGATCCTCATTTTTCTATCTTTTTAACATCATTATTTCATCAACTTTATTATAAACTTAATAAATTATATATATATATATATAACACTTTAGACACTTACTTGATAATTTATGAAAAATCTTCCCCTCTACATCAAAAGTCAAAACAAACCAAGTCGAGTAAATGAGGTTGGCATTTATCTATCTTTATAATGAACTACAATGGAAAGTTAATTTAATAATAAAACTGTGGGAACCAATATAATGGCATATAGGCTTCCCAATTTTACTTTTTTTTCTTCATACAATTAATAAAAAAAATGGAGATTAGACTTACAAAAATAGTTAAAAGGTAAAGAAATAAAAAATATATTGGATGTTGACCCTTTATTTTAATGGCATATATTGATTTTGTTTGGCATATATTGATTTTTGGTGATTTTAAAAATGCTCTTAAAAGGTATTGTTGGATTATTTGGTTCAGAGTTTTAGTGTTCAGCATTGATGTCAAAAAAATATTTTAAATAAATAAAATGTCAATTTTAGATATAGTATTGCAAAATAAAAATAGTTTAATTTAATAATATAAAATTATCAATATTTTAATATATTAAATATTACATTTCAATTTATCGTAAGAATATTATTAATAATTTATTAATTGTATTTTAGTATATAAAATATTAATTTAAAATTGTATTAATTGTATTAATTTATCGTAAGAATATTATTAGTACATTTTATGGGCATAATTTTCAAAGATGAAGCATCGACCCATTTCAGACTAAGCATCTAAGCGAAAGCATGTCTATAAAATGGATTATCTTGTAATGTGAAGGTTTTTATCTCTGGTGAAAATTATTCTATTATATTCATTGTTGGGATCAACATTTTTGCTTTTGTATTTTGCACATGTGTTCCATTTATTTATACATTTTCACATACATAATTCATAAAAACGTGGAATTAATCCGTGGAGGATTCGATGAAGTGGCCCTAATCATGTGTCATCACATTGAGAATAGAAGCAAGATTCGAACAATTAAAGGCGAGAAAAGAGTCAAATTGATCCATTTCCCATGATCTATGAGGAATTACTTCCAACGCTACTTGAGAAGAATCTTGTGACTCTCATTCAATCCAAGCCAAAAGTATAACATCCCAAATTACGGGTTAGTAACTAAATCGTAAATTTTCAGAATCTTGTGATAAAGTAGAATAGTTGAATCATTCAATGATTTATTTGGAAATATTTCCAGAAAGTTATTAGTAATTATCAAAGGAATTAAAGGGCAAAATGGTCATTTGAAATTAAAGATATTTCCCCCCTTTATTAGGAGATAAACACATGGGGGGAGAAGATTAAGATGAAAACTCTCTTCTTCTTCATCTTCTTTTCTTCTCCACTGTGGAAGCTAGGCAAAGGTGAGTTTTCTATTTTGTTGATTATTAGCTGAAATTTAAGTTGAGTTTTGATGATTAGATGATAACTAAGCTTAAGTTATCTTAAAATCAAAAGATAAAGGAGTTATGACAGATTAAAGAAAATTGGTTTTTAAGTGAAATTTTGAATAAGAAGGTTTAAATAAATTTGGAGGATGAATTTGACTTGTCATCTATGAGAATAAGAAGTTTGAAGTGTTAGAATTGAATTTAGAACATGTGGAAAATTTGGTATGATTCTTAATTTTAAGAATCATAATGAGATATGGAAAATAAAAATGGTTTATATGGATATAAGTTGGTTTAAGTAATGGTAGTTGAGTTTAATGGTATGACAGGGGCTTAAAATAGAAGAATTGAGTGAAGAGTTGATGATTTTCGGGTTTAAACAGTAAAATTCTAGGTTTTACAAATTATGCATAGGGTACAGATACCCCTGGGAGGAATTCATTCCCCCTAAAGGAAAAATGGAATTTTGGTTCATTAAATTAGCTTACGTTATTAACATCAAGTTTAAGGTTTAGACTTTTGATAATTGTTTTGAAAATTATATTTATGTAGATACAGAGCCTAAACAAGTTCCGAAACAATCAAAGAATTATGATCGAATCAAAGCAAGGCTAAGATGAGTGCAATTTAATTTGTGCTTATGTTATAGAATGAACATTGGCTTGCGATGAGCCAGTGACGGAGTTACTATGGTAAGAAGTAACTCTTACAACGTTATTTTATGTGACATGAGTTACATGATTATATGTATATGTGATATGTTTAACATGTTGTTCTATGTGTTGTGTGATATATATATTTATATATATATGTGCTTACATAAGAACATGAGAAATAAAATAAGTTATGTGATAAGGATATAGAAAATGAAATGAATGACATGAAATGTGTGTATGCTTGATTATATGAGTGGATATGTTATTGTAAGTACTAAATGGCTTATGTAAATAAATGAAAAGGTGAGATAAAATAAGTAGTATTTACTGATAAGGTAAAAAGAGATTATATGAACATATACTATTGATAGGGCACATAAGACTATATGTCTATCCGTTAATGTAATAAAGTGAAATAAGTCAAATGATATTGAAGTATGGGAATATAGTATATGTGATAAGTGATGTATGTGAAGCATATGATAACAAGAGATGATAATGATTTACATGTCATATGAACATAAGAGAAGTATTATAAGCTAAGTGACATATGATTATGAAATCATATGAAAAGTGAAATGTGCATGTGAATATGTGAAATAATATAAATGATATTGCCTATGTTATGTGATATGAGAGCTAGTGGTATAGTTGGCATGCTAAGAGTCGAGGGTTATAGTGGTCCTACGAGACATAGTGTTCCTTCGGGACAATACAGTGGTCCTACGGGACATAGTGATCATTCGGGACAAATTTCAGTGCCCCTAGTGGGAATTTTACGAGCTATTGTGACAACATTTGTGCACAACCTCAATGCACTCACATATCCTTAGTTCTCACAAGTGTACCATGGGCTAATTAAAGAGATAACACAAATATAATATATGTGATGTATATGCTTTTGATAATATGAAATGTTACAGGAATTATATGATGATGTGTATATTGTTTGGTTAAGAATGTTAGATACAAGAGCATATGACTAAGGGATTAAGGATAATGCTAAGAAGGTAAATGATGATATATGTTTCTATATGATATGATAGTATTAATTATTTATGCATTGATATGAGTAGAGTAATGTTACATGTTTTTATGCCTCACTAAGTCATCGACTTAGCGCGTGATGGTTTCACACGTAGGTTTGGAAAGAGAAAAAAAGAAAAGTAAAGAGGAACAAGACATGCCAGTTCTCCTTACCAAAGATCAGATCAGGAATATAGTGGAATTGCATGTATTTGGTTATATAGAATTTAGTTGTCATGTAATATAAAAGATTTGAATCTGATATGCCCTGAACAAGTTTTGTAATGTTTAAACGTATTTTTTTGTAAATGGTAAAGGTATAAAGATGAACGTTTTAAATTTTAAGAGTTTATATATGTTTTACGGAAGTACTGTAGCAGTACTGTAGCAGGGTATCGGTTCCCTGTAGCAGGGGAATCGGTTCCCCTATGACAATCTGGAAAATTTTAACATTCGGGTATTGTTCACGATACTGTTTATATCGTATTTTACTGTTCATAAATATGTTTTTGCCTCAAAATTTT